TCTACAGAAGTATCAGAAACCCACGATTTCCCGTGATCTTTGCCGGCTGAAACCTCCTTTCAGAGTTGCACTTTCACCGAAATACTTTTCACAAGGGGCAACAAACTATTGTCTAAAAATCTTAGCTTTTATTGTAAAGGCCTGGTTAGATCTATTTTTGAAGCCGGTTGCATTTGTAACTTACCCACCTGCCCCAGCTCTGCAAGGAATCAGCAGATCAAGCCTCTTCTTTTTGAGCGCTTCGATTGTCGGCCTGGCTCCAGCAGCTTCACTAAAGCTAGGTTGGGGATTTGGATTGGAATTTAGATCATAAAAATATTAGTGTTAGATTTGGCTTTAGTTTAGATTTGACTTCTCCTTAGATCTGAAGTTATTCGAGAGAGTGGAAACCTCTCTAAATTTTCTGATCATTGGTACTCATGTAAAACCTCCACCAATATCGAGCGAGTTTTTCATCTCATTGTCCAGCTTCTCGACCCATCAAAATCGACTTCTTTACCTGCCAATGAACGATTTATAATCAAGATTTCTTGTTTCACATCTAATTTCAGACACTTATACTCTGCGCTAATCCCGGTAGCTAACATTTCGCAGCGCTTTCTCGGAATCGCCGCTGGATCCTCACAGCCTGTACCAGACATGGAAACTGAAATTCTCAGGTACTCTTTTAAATCTTTTAAACTATTTTTGAAGCAATTTTCAAATATTACCAGTTCCTGAATATTGTATCCCTTCTTTCGCCCCAATCTTGATATTCCAGGTGCCTCCTCTTCTGGATCGGCACCAAATTTAGCTGCTCAAGTCAGAGATTGATTGAGAACTTGAGGCTGAGATTCGAATAACAGATCTAAAGTTAGAAAATAAGAATACAATAATAGCAAAAAGTGTGCCAGAAAGGCTATTTCTCCTATTTTTCAGGTCGCTTCATTCATCGATTCGACTCACTTCACGATCCAGGAAATAAACGGCTCTGTTTTAGCAACTCCTCAGCTGAATCCACAACCAAGAGTTTCACATCATGCGCTTTAGCAAGCTAAATATATAATGCTTAACTCCACTTATGATCAAGCAGCTAAAATATTTCCTTATCAACATTTAAAGAAGTTTCAGCTTTCCAAATTGGACTCTTCTGTTTTGGCGGGATGAGAGAAATGATCTGTGATGGGCTTGCTCCCAGTTTGATCAACTAAATGTAAAAAATAATTTATTTCCTTAGATTCAAACGTTCTTAAAAAGCTGGCGTATTTTACCAAATCGATTTCATTCTGACTCGCGCAATCAGACTGAGCACCCCAACACGCAGTGAGAATTCGCGAGAATCACCGGATCGTTATTAGGCTTTGGTCGCATAAAATGGCTGAATTTGATTATTGCATAGATTAGATAGAAAAGAGAAAGAAATTCTTTCGCATAGATTATTGATTATCTATGATCAATTTTGTTCAAAACTTGTTTAAAAAGCTCAAGCTGGCATGATTGCTATTCCTTTCATTGTTTCGTTTACCTCTGCTTCTGGGGAATTCCTCTTTCCAAAGCTCCGATCTTTTCACCGAAGTGATCAAGTTTATAAAGCATGAAGCCCTTTTGTTATTCTAGAAATACTTACACAACTTTGAAATATCAGAACACACATTTTTCTCTCTGAAGCTAGCGATCTTACGGCACAGAGTCAGTACTTTTCGTCTCTTAGGGGGAAAATTGCGATCTAGAAAGAATGAGATTATTTTTGATTTAAAGCGTTCCTAAAGGGTTGAAACGTTAGTAATCCTCCGAAAACTCGCAATTCTTATTCTGAGACTTGCGGCTATATTGGTAAGCTGATCAAAACAGCGCCGCTTACAAGCCGCGCGATTCAGCAAAAATAGCCCCTCCACGGTTAAGTTTCCATAGTGTTTCTTATTCCTATTGAATACAGAAGGGAAATTATCTACATTTTGCATACTTTGGGATCACCAAAACAGAAGTGGGTGAAGCCCAGAATCCTCTTGAATCTCTAGCCCCGGAACCTCTCGCCCAGTTAACCTCTTTTTTGAGCCCTTTTTCGTTTTTGGCATTTTCTACATCCCAGATTTGATTTCCAAGCAGCTCCAAGAAATCCAGCCCAGCTAGCTATTTTTTTTTCTACATCCGCTGAAAATAGAAACACAAATAAACTAACCACAAGCGCATTATTTTGGCCGGCACTGTTTATTCACGGCGTTGTTTTGATCAGCTCCCGTATATTGACTTTTAGCCCAAACGAACCTCTTGATTCTCGAAAACGACTTTCTCTCCATTACAAAATGGATCCACGAATCTTCAAGCCATTTCAACTTCCGAAAAAGCCTAGAATTTGAATAAAATAACAGTAGAAAGAATTTCCTTTCTTTTTCTCATCTTTCTCACTTATCGATCACAGATCTTTCTTCACTGGCCACTGGTCGTAAAATCAGTGGCTGATTAGGTGTGTTCTGATGAATTCTGGCTACTGACTTGCTTATAAGATTTCGAAATTATATGTAATTACTTTCTTCAAGAGAAACTCGAGAGAAGTCTAGTCATACAAAAAAAAGAAAGTATAAATAACTTCAATTATAAAAAAGAGAATTCTTGACGAAAAACCTACAATTTTATGAGAATAGGATATGGTACGAGAACAGCACTCTTAGACAGAGATACTAAATCAGTTTCATTTACATCGTTCTCCTTAAATTTCTAAGACTTTAGTAGAATAAGGTGCATTTGGTTAAAATGGATATAGGGAGTTTATTCATGAGAAAGATTTATCGACAAGGGGGTAAAGGCACAGTATGGCCAGAGGGCTGGACATTCAATTCCTTGAAGTGGAACCACTATTGAATCCACTGGAATTAGAGATTTCCAGTGCACTTAATGCACTAGAGAAAGCTAAAATAATAAACTTTTTCTTGATTTTCTGACCAAGCTATTCTTTGTTTTTAATGAAAATCCGCCCTTTTGCTTACGGATACAACCATTGATTCACTTGATTCTTGACGGCTCCCGTCCCAGCGAAGATCCGAGCTGCGTTTTTCTGGAAATCATAGTTGGAGTGAGCTGCTTTGATTGACTATGTGCCTACGGACGTACTGTCATAATATTGGTATGTCCTGACGTACTTTGCATAGTACTGGCACGTACTGACGTGTTGTACATCATACTGGTACTCTTTGAAATACCTTGACATGCGTTCCCTTGATTGATCCATTCTTTTAAATGTTTCGAAGCTCTCTCCGACTCACATCAATTCTCCAGTACTCGATTTTGCGTTTCCCGAGATACCATCTCTAAAAGCTCTTTGTAACAGATAATTCAAACAGTATTTTACCTCAAGCTGGCAAACTGGCAGCTCAGCTGGCAGCAACACAACAGGTTTATTACACTGACCACCCAAAGAAAAGAGCTAGCCAATGAGAAGGCTAAATGTTTCAATGTGGTAAATAACCTTTCACTTACCCTTTCAATCAGTAGATGATTGTTCGAACAAGCAAGAAGGCTTATTACATCCGGAGGAGAAACCCTAAATTAAAATTTAAAGATTTTAATAGAAAAAAACCTTAGCCATATCTTTTCTTTTTTCTGCGTATAGATCCAAAATTTCCTTTTCTCGCTTTCGAACTCTATCGGACCTAAATCACTTTTTATAAAAAAACATTTATTGTGATGTTACCATAAAAATGAGTTCACAGTTTCATCGATTCTCTTTAAGGTAACAGATTTCGAGCGCGTACATCAGCAGACATTTGATGACAAAGCTCAAGTTATAAGGATTTTATTCCATTCTCCAGGTTTCAATAAATACCCGATCAACTGCTGCCCCTTCAAATCATCCATCTTTTTTCGGTAAAAGTGGACGTGGTGGAGTCTTTGAGCACTTGACATCGTTTGTTGGCCTTAATAAGCAAAGATTTTTAGGAGGAAAAACCTAATTGGCAAAACTCTATTCTTAAGAAGGATAAACATTAACCAACTTCAACCGTAATTTTAGCCACGATATCACGCTCATCTCCTATTTTAGGCGCTGGCATCTTTAACGTTTGAATAGCTCTGTCATAGCTCCTGGGCCAATGCGGTATCAATAACCTGAAAAAGAGTGATAAGACAAAAAACAAAAAAAGTGATAAAATTTAAACAAACCAGCCTTTACTGGAGCTTTTAATTTTTCGTCTGCCAATACACGGCAACTTTCGATTCGTTAATCAAAAGTCGATAAGTGCACGCGACGAGTTGTTGACGAAAAAGCGTTCCTCAATGAACCCGAGTAGATCAGAAATTCCACAATCTGTTAACTTTAGAAGTCAAAATTTAGTAAAATTTACCCAATTCAGTCAGAAAGGCGCTAAGTTCATAAAGAAAAGCCTTCGCTTCGTCAGAAATGATTGAATAGCAGATGGACTTTCTTTTAACTCATCAAGGACCTAAAACAAATGATAATTTTAACTTGAAATTTAAATACCTTAATTTCTGTACACAGCGTATGGAAGTAATTTGAAGAAATCCACTGTGCCCCGAAGCCTTGTTCCAATGATTGGAGCAGAGGTTGTCGTAAACCAGGAATATCTTGTATTCTAAAAGACACTTTTTAAAATCCTAAATTACAAGCCTTACTCTTTCAAATTGTGACAACTGAACGTCGTCGATTTATCTACTTCCATAAGAGGACATTTCTAAAAAGACAATTCTTTTTTTAATTTCTTCGGAAAAAAACCCTTGAATTTACCTATTTTACCCCTACCGTGGAAGATGTGGCTACCGCTAACAACATTCAGGAGCTATTTGTTCAGGATTCATTCACACCGGGTAACAGCTTAATTCTATACTAACTACCCAAAAACTTTAGTAATCCATCCCCAAATCCTATCAACTGGGACAAGTTCGGCTCAAAACTGGAGTATCTAAGCCTTTCCGAGAAGCCCATAATGAAAACTGGTTTCTACAATTTGGATTGCAAAAGTGTAACTAAATAGCTTAACTAACCTTCTAACCAGGACGTCCAATCTTCACAAATCGCTTGATATCGACTTTTGCTTGTTGAGGAGCAGGCAAAAACGGTTGTTCCTAAATAAAATTCTATTAAAGCTATTAAAAAATGAAATTACCGCAGCCTCCTTCGCCGCACGTCGAGCCAGGTTAGCTTGGTGCTTTTACCCTGGGTGTGAGCAAGTACGAACCTATAAGTGAGATTACAAGTAAAAACTTTTATTTAATACCTTCATTGTTGTGCAGGTGAGACAAAGTTTGCACTCGTAAGTACCGACATGATTTCGCATAAAATAGGGGGTCCTTGTTCAGGTCGATCGTTTCAAGGCCAAGTTAATCTAAAATTAGAATTTGCAGATGAACCCTCCGTCGATAAGTGGATATTTTTTCAACTGGATTAGACTTGCTCAACTTTATTATTTGAGGTAAGTAGGAAAAATCCATTGTCGTTAAATATGTATGCACAGATCTGGATCTGTCACAAGATAGATGGAGACCTCAATCCGATGCAGGTATCATACTAGATCATACATCTTCATAAACTATTTAGGTTTCTCTCAACACGGATATTCAATGGTGCTTTGTACCGGTGTGGATTTTAATATTAAGCCTTTGCTTCCAAGCTTACAGATTGTTTTAAACACAAAGGGCAAAATTTACAGGTAAACCTTTAGATCTCAAAAGCTTTGAAAATAAATTTTTATTGTCTTTCCACAATAAATCAGCATAATCAACAACAAGTAAGGTAACAATAAAAATCACAAATTGACAACAAGTGTTTCATAATCCCTATCCAAAAATTCTTGTGAAAATGAATATTCAAAATTGGACTTGCTAGAGGTTAAATTTAAATTGAAGTACACCATTTATAAGGAATAAAAACCTACAAAATTTCAAAGTTTACAAATCCCTTAAAATCCAACATTAGAAAGCGTCAACGTTCAAAAACTGAAAACCCTAAAGAAACAAATAATAATGCAAATTACAGAGAAGAGTTTATTTCAAACTAAAACTCAATATAGCCATAGTGGTAAGATTGCTCGCCGATTTTGTAAACTCCTTTCTTCTTAGCAGGATTGAGCCTGACTTCAGCTTCAACTTGAGCTTGAGCATCAGCCTTCAGCCTGTTCAATTCAGCACGGATGAGTTCCTTTTTGCGCTTGTCAATCATTGGTAGGCATTTCCTTGATCAACTTCAACAGCTCTTCTCGCTTGTCCTTCTTCCAAGGGCTCATGTCGTAGAAGTTCAGTGAGAGCTAAATTAAAAGATAAGTCATATAAACAAAAAATTTGTACTTACTTTTGGGCGCCTTCCCAAGCCTTTGTGAGTTTGAAGGCTTGAGGGCCACTGAGGCCAACACAAATCACTCCCAACAACTTGCTCTTCGCCGAATGAGACTTAATCAGAACGCCATACTTCAAAAAGCACTCCGTCACGCAAATTGCCGCTGCTCCCCAAAGCTTTTCGGAGAACTGATCGACATCCTGGCGGATTCTTGTTGGAGTATTCTTCGAGGCTTTTCGATGAAATGGTTGAAGTCGTACTGCTCGTAAGTCAACTGAAATTGAGAATTGTGAAAGAATTGAGTACAAATTCTTACCGTGCTCTGATAACCTTCCAAATCATCTTCGACTTGAACATCATCTTTGAACAATCCAGCCAACTCGCCATACTCCTCCTCCTTAACGCTAACCTCGAGGCCATTGACAAGAATCTTCTTCGTCATCTTGAGCGAACTGAAAAAGCGAGAGTGAGCGTCAAATAAAGTAAAAAAAAGTAAAACACTAACGAAAACAAGATCTAAAACAAGAAATTCCTTTTTTTTCTTGCTTTCATGATTTTTTCTCTTTCGGGAGGCGTCAAGTACTGATTGCAAGACTTTTGCACCCAGTTTTTAGGGTATTTTTAGTAGTTTTGTCATTTACTTTTTGTTTTTACGCTGAACTTCAAATTTGTTTTGTAAATAGAGTATTGCATGTATTATCCTAATTAAAAACAAAAAGCCCTACGAACGGGTGGCATTTTCTATAAAAAATTTCATCGATTTTTGAAAAGTGATGATGCAAGACTTTTGCTCGGTATTGTAAATGGATATGAAATTTATTCATGAAAGATTTATCGAAAAGGGGTAAAGGCACGAGTATGACCAGAGACTGGACATTCAATTTCATGAAAATGAAATCACAATTGTAATTCCTATGCACTAATGCACTAAGAAAAGTTAAAATAATAAACTTTTCTTAATTTTCTAACCAAAACTATTCTTTGATGCAATGAAAAATCCGCCTTTTGCTTTAAGATACAACCATTGATTCGCTTGATTCTTGACGGCTCCCGTTACAACGAATCCGAGCTGCGTTTTCTGGAAATCGCAGTTGGATTGAGCTGCTTTGATTGACTATGTGCCTACGAATGTACTGTACATAATATTGGTACGCACTGACGTACTTGCATAGTACTGGCACGTACTGACGTGCTGTACATCGTACTGGTACTCTTTGAAATACCTTGATATGAGTTCCCTTTTGATTGATCCATTCTTTTAAATGTTTCCAAGCTCTCTCCGAACTCACATCAATTCTCCAGTACTCGATTTTGCGTTTCCCGAGATACCATCTCTGAAAGCTCTTTGTAACAGATAATTCAAACAGTATTTTACCTCAAGCTCGTTAAGCAACGAATCGGTGTCAATAACAAAGATCCCTTTCTCGTAGTACTCAATGGGTAACTGGAGATTCACATTTACTTTAGCTGCTCATTGTTTACTTACATTGTACTTTAGTTCAGTATTATCTTTCGTTTCAAAGTCGAAATTGAGACGATTCAAATGGACACGAGGGATTTGATGTTTCTGAACAAAACTTGATTGATTTAGATTGATTTTCAAATCTCAGATTTCTCATACTTACCTCCAAACACATCAGCAAATCCTTTTTAATAACTTTATCCGATCGCCCATTACAATTCGCTGTCACATTCACCAGCTTGAAACTGATTATTGGAGAAAAATTCGAGAACACTGAAATTTTGAGTCTTACAGATGTATTTCTTATTTCCCAACTTACTCTTTCCATTCCCAAAACACTAAAGTCGATCCAAAAGTGACTTCGTTCAGTTCAAAGTGCTAAATTAGCTTAAAAAATGAGTTAATCTTTAAAAAAACACCTTAATTGCTGGCTGCCAAGTAAAACACAGGCTCGAATTTTGGAAAAAATTTGCCAAGAAGATCGTCGAGATTGATCTGAAAGCGTTAAATTTTACTAGATAAACTTTGAACTAACTCCTTTCGCTGAAAAATAGTCAATCTGTTGTTGGAGGTATTTTTTTCGCTCTGAAAGCCACACTGATTGATGGATCGGTTGAATATACACGATGAACGTCAGAGGATTCCTCAAAGAGATTCATAAATGTAAGTTTTTTGTTAATTTTCTCAAGCTTGTGTTGTTCAGTTCAGCTTATCTCAAATCCTCACCGATTCTTTGCTTATCAAATAATCCTCATCAACCCGTTGTCCATTCATAAACAAGGTTTGACTGTATTGGAAGCTGAAAATAAACAGTTCACTGCACCAAAATTCATTTCATTACCGCGTTCTTTTGCGCACCGTCTGCGAATATCAAAATGTGACAATCTTTTTGAAGATCTTGAACTTGAAGAACATAATGCCCTCGGTCGCCAATGTTTTGTCTTTTATATTCGATCTTCACCGAGTTGTACTTCCGATTGAAATAGCAATTCTTGTAGTTTTTGTAGAAATCGTGGAATCGTCTACAAGCTCGTGTAGTCTAAATAATATATTTAATCATTTTAAAACAAATCCGTGTTAAAGAAACGCTGGCCAACCTTGATTAACGATCGAAAGTCAAGATTCTCAAATATTCGGACCAAAATCTCATTTGGAAGTTGGAGAAATGATGGATTTATGGAAGAATTTGAATCTGCCATTCTAAATTGAAAGACATTAGGAGATTTGGTTTTCCTAAGCTGAAATAAATTGTGGAATGAGATCGATTACGTAGGATAAATGTTTGAATTGTTGTGGAAGTGGGATGTGGTTTTGGAGCATTGAGCAAAAGAAAGAAGGGGAAAGGGTAGCTGAACACAGAGGAGAGGGGTGCATTGGAGGGGAAATACGATTTGATTTCCTAAGCTAAAATAACCATCGAAAAATCTCATTCAGATTCCAAAGAAAACCGTTGGAAATGAAAATTGCTATTTAAGCCAAAACTTTCTAAAGATTCTTCAATTATGACTACTGTATGGCAAATCAATGAAAATATAGAAAAACAAATTGGTAATCAATTATAAATGCGAAGAATGAAGCAATTTTAGGGGAGGGGGAGAGCGCATTACGCATCCTCTAGTTATACAGACACTACAAAAGACTTTACAACTTTAACAGGTGTAATCTGGTGCTAGTTTTTAAAATTATACGACATTAGTTCCACAAGAAGAAAACATTACAAATAAGCAAACTTAATATACCGTAAATGCTGTATTAGAATGACACCCCGCTGACCCCTCGAAATCTTGAATTTAGACCCCTTTGTGGGGGTTCTATGAATAGATCTAGACCTAAAACCTATTAACATTTTATCGGCAGTAAAATTTAAAAAGCTATTTTTTGAAAAGTATAAAAATACCAAGGTAATACTACAAACTATACTGTTTTAAATAAAAAAGATGAAGGCATAAAAATAGAATTGATTAAAGTTCAAAAAGATGAGAATAATAATGAGTTAAACGCTCCAAAGCAAAATAAAACTAAAACGCATAGAAAAAGTAAACCGAAATGAAGCAAAAAGAATAAAGAATTTTTAAATTCATTAACCAATGATTTAGCTAATAAAATTGAATTAATCAAAGAAATTCAACACTTCTTGAATGCATTAAAAACTTAAAAAATAAAGTTACTTAATATTTAATAGTTTTAATTCTTTCATATTCAACTCAATGAATAGGTTAATGTCATCAAATTCAATTAAATTACTATTAGGAATCTACTAATCTTAAAATAAGCTTATTTGGTCTGCTTGAGATTTTATGATAGATAATTTGTTTTGGTTCCACACTTATTTCTTTATTATTAAGTCTAAATCTGTAAATTGTATTAATCTTTTTATCGTTAGTATAAGAGTCATCTATCAAGTTACACCAAACAAAAATATGTCCAATAGTTTTTAGAGTATACGTATTTTCGGAAATATGCTTACCGGTTATTATAAGTTCTTCTTTATTATTTATTAATTATTATGCATTATTATTTTTGTCAACTTCATTAATAATTGTTTCAATTTATTGTTAATTTTTAAATTCCATCCAATTTCACCCCTCCCTATTTCATAATTCCTTTCCAAAAACTCCTATCCAAAAATTCCTATCCAAAAAAACATAATTCCTATCCAAGTGGCACCAGTGAGGTGAGTCTAAATGTTAAAGGGGAATTTGAAAGATGAGCCAAAATCAAAAAATGTTGAATTTGCAGATGGACCCTCCGTACGATAAGTGGATATTTTTCAACTGGATTAGACTTGCTCCAACTTTATTATTTGAGGTAAGTAGGGAAAAATCCATTGTCGTTAAATATGTATGCACAGATCTGGATCTGTCACAAGATAGATGGAGACCTCAATCCGATGCAGGTATCATACTAGATCATACATCTTCATAAAACTATTTAGGTTTCTCTCCAACACGGATATTCAATGGTCTTTGTACCAGTGTGGATTTTAATGATAAGCCTTTGCATCCAAGCCTGCAGATTGTTTTAAACACAAAGGGTAAAATTTGCAGGTAAACCTTTAGATCTCAAAAGCTTTGAAAATAAATTTTTATTGTCTTTCCACAATAAATCAGCATAATCAACAACAAGTAAGGTAACAATAAAAATCACAAATTGACAACAAGTGTTTCATAATCCCTATCCAAAATTCTTGTGAAAATGAATATTCAAAATTGGACTCGCTAGAGGTTAAATTTAAATTGAAGTACACCATTTATAAGGAATAAAAACCTACAAAATTTCAAAGTTTACAAATCCCTTAAAATCCAACATTAGAAAGCGTCAACATTCAAAAGCTGAAAACGCTAAAGAAAAAAATAATAATGAAATTACAGAGAAGAGTTTATTCCAAACTAATACGCAATACGGTCATAGGAGTAAGAACATTTGCCGATCTTGCAAGTTTCTTCGTGGACAGAGACGATCTTGACCGACGTGAAGCTGTTCAATTCGGTACATATGAGTTCCTTTTTCAACCCTGCTTGTTCAATCGTGGCAGCCATTCCCTTGATCGACTCCAACAGTGCTTCTCGAGCCTCCTTCACCATAAGCTTCACAATGTCGTAGAATTTCGAGCGCGAGCTAAATTAAAAGATAAGTCCTGTAAACACCAATTAGTACTTACTTTTGGGCTTCGTTCCACGCATCGCCAACTTCTACGCTTTGAACGCCACTGAGTCCAAAATCACGAATCACGTTCAACAACTTGATCTTTGTCGAAGATGACTTAATGAGGACGCGACAATGTTTCAAAAAAACTCCTTGACACAAAGTAACGCTGCTCCCCATGCCTTCTCCGAAAATTCGACGACGTCTGGTGGATCTTTGTTGGAGTACTCGTTGGCTTTTTCGATGAGCTCGTTGAAGTCGTACGGCTCGTTAGTCTCCTGGAATTGAGAATTATAAAAGATTGAGTACAAATTCTTACCGTGCCCTGCAAATCCTTGACCTCAACTCCATCACTCTCCATCAGTTTTAACATCTTCCACGCCTCCTCAAAGTCCTCCTCCTGAACGCTGACCACGATGCCATTGAGACCAATCTTCCTCGACATCTTGAGCGAACTGAAAAAGCGAGAATGAGCGTCAAATAAAGTCAAATAAAGTAAAAAATGTAACATACTAACGTAAACAAGATCTAGCAAAAGCAATGATAAAGCTTTCGTGATAGGGGAGGCAAGAGAATAAAATTTGAGGGTTCCATTAAGAGAGACTAAGGGGAAGGGACTTTAGCAAGAAAATAGATTGCTTTCCTATCCATAACAACCTTTATATAATCCTCGGTTGGAGACCACTGCTAGTCTTATCTAAAAAAGGTTCACCCGATTAATCAAAAATACAGTGGAGTGAAAAAAATAGCAAAAAGAAAATCCTAGAATTCGAGGCAAATAAGGGGAGAACAAGTCCAAATGCATGTGCCAGGGGGGTCAACGGGGGCAATGCAAAACATGTTGAAACAAGAAAAACCGACAGTTTGTTTACGATTTTTGCAGATGGTGCCACAGTTGAGCTTTTTGTGGAACAAAAGAATGACCGAAAAAGAAAGTGCTGCGCGCAGTTGAATGTCTTAACATTCAGCACGATCGAATGTTAGTACAGTAAGCTTTTGTGACGGAAATTTGTGCCTGACTGAATATCTTTTTGCAAAAAATCATATTTATAATGAAATTTTTTTAGATAAATTTAGATAACACCCGGGCAGAGAATTGCAAATATGCAAATTTTAAGCAAACACACTCTTGTTTGATGTCTAGTTGATTTATTTCATCTATCGGCCCCTTTTTTATGTTAGAATCCATTCTTTGCTATGTGGGGAGGAAATATTTAGAATGGAGCTACAAATAGATAGAAAACTGGGCAATAGAAGACACGAATAACCACAAACAAAAAATAAAAAGCGCCTGTTAAGCGCCTCCAAATCCAGAGTCGATCCATTAGCATTTTCGAGGCTCTTACTTCTAAAAATTAAAAGAATCAAATTTTTTTAAAATCAAAGTTTACCTATCTTGACCCCAAACGGGCTTGTAGTCAATAGGCAAAGCGCAAATTGGTACTCGACCAACGAAGTGTAATTTGCTAGCCCACACATATATTGCCTGTTCTCCTTGATGACAAGTTGCCAAAAATTCTCCAGTTTCATTGAAGGATATTCCTGTGCATGGTGTTCCATAAAGAAGAACATCAATCAAGGAGGAAGTTACAAGCTCCCAAACCTAAAAAAAAACAAAATATAATTTACTGTTGTTCGAATAACCCGAATATAATTATCTGTCTCCAGTAAGCAACCATTTACCATTTGCAGAAAATGACATTGAGAGCACCTAAAACTTTTATATAAATAAAATCTAGAATCAACTCACGTCGTTTCCAGCTTGCTTAAATGTGCGGGCAACTTTTCTTGTGAAAGTATCGATCACAGAAACAAAACAAGCTAAAAAACTTTCTCTTATTCAACATTACAAATCATACATTTAGCAGGATCTTCGAGAGCTACAGCTATAAGACTGTTATTTCGACATGAAACCATCTTTGTGATAGATCCTTTAGCCTTCATACGAGTCTTCATTCGACCTAAAATACATTAAGTAGAGGTTATGGAGGTTTCAAACAACTCATACCTGTTATTCACGTTATTCACGAATACAAAGATTAAAACTTACCGCAATCTCAATGACCGGTTCCAATCGAATACTATCCAAATCAAGTCCCTTCTTCTTGGCTTTAGCCCTGAATACGTAGTAGGTTGTGAAGATGGCGTGTCAAACCTTGAAATGGTACCATCGTTTCCTAACTTCTGGCGTGTTACTGCATCCATCACGGAATATTTACGAACAGAGCCATCAAGTCCTGCTGACACGACTTCGTGATTACTACTAAAATCAAGTATTGCTTATAAACACAACTATTAATAGTGCCTGAAAATCCACGATTTTCACAGGCAGCAAATAGCCTTCATTGATGACAGGTTGACGTGGCATTCCATCCATCTAATTCGAAACAGAATTAGTATAAAAAAATGCTTGAAAATACCTGATCAAAGCCAGGTTCTCATCGAGTTATCGCTTGACGTTGAAACCATGATTGGCTCTGCAGGCATGAAGTAGAGTGAAGTGACAGCACCGTTGTGAACATTATCAGTCCGACCAACCTGTACAAAAAGTAAAGCTATTTTTTGCTAAGGAAGGAGTTACAATACGATATTTTGAAAAAGATTAGTAGCATTTTTTCCAACTTGAGCACAAAATTTACCTCGAAGTACTGTTATGGGAACATCAAATTTGCTTTGGAATTCGTGAATCAATTTTCCAGTTCGAATATTATACAATCGTAATTTCCCATTATCGCCGCCAAGCAAAAACTAAATAAGATTTTTAAAAAGAAAATGAGAGTCGTTTAAGAAGCCTTGTTCATGTAAGTAGGAGGATGAACAATCCCTGTAACATTGAAATGATGCGGACCTTCCAGATGTAACTGCTACAAGCAAGAAACGATCTTCTTTTAACAATTTTTCTTACCTTTGTCCCGTCTTGCACATCAACAACAATAATACGGTTGTGTTCATCAATCACAACAATTTGTGAACCAAAAAGTAGACGATGTTTTGGTTGGCTTCCAATTTCAATCCATCTTGTAATGTCACGACAGAGGGAATCACTCCAATTCGCGTCCCAGCAGCTCCATAAATCCCACTAAATTTAGTTTTTAGTGATAAGGAAAGTAATAAAAAAAATATAAATAAAAAAATATGCTTAGATTCCCTTTGTTTGGTTGATCAAATTGAGCCCGACATGCGCGAGGATCCGGAAGCCATAAAATCAATCCACTGGAATGGCTTCTCGTCGAACCCGTATCCAAAAAACACGCGTTTCAATTTTGCGGGTGGGTAAAAATCCAGGATTTAGTGCATATTAAGGTGTTATAGCTCGAGATTGACGAATACGTACACTTTTGTACAAAGGAATTGGTCACAATGCTTTGTGACTTTTATTAAATACCTAATTCTTGAATTTATGCTTTCTTTTTCATTTGGCCACAAGGTCCCATCGATTTTTAATATTTTATCAGCAAAATTTCAGCTCAATCCGAATCTTATGCTTTCGCAAGAGAGCAAGAGAATAGAGCAAACGAGAAACAGGAAAACAGTGGTTCTATCGGTCTCACCTTCACCATCACGCCTCTCACAGTTTAAATGATAAATGAATTTATTTAGATTTGTTTAGCGATTACAGTAATCAAAAGATAACTTTTGCACAATCACTTTATCCCTTTATCTCATATGAAACTTTTGTCCATCGTTGCATTGAATCGTCACCGAGAAATTCTGAAAAACTTCGTTCAGCTAGGTTTTGATCGTTTTTTTTTTGTTTTTCGTACTTTTATTTCTTAAATATTTCAAACTTACAAAGAAGTTGCTTTTGGTAGAAAATTTCGATTATAATATAAAAGCCAAAACTCTGGAGAATTCAGGTAAAAATGATTTCAAATGGTGAAAGATTAATGGAAAATAAAGAGTAGGAGAGAAAAGCTCAGGTTTTGGACTAGATAGATAAGATGAACTTTATAAATATTATAAAGAACTTTTATAATTATAAAATATCAGAATAAAAATGGCTTACTTTTAGCTTCTGAAATCCTCCCTTCCCCTGATTCTTCGGAGCAGATTTCTTTTTCAGTTTCCCCAAAATCCCTTCGTTTCCCTCGCAATCTCCACTTGTCCACGTGAAAATGATCTTTCGCATTTGATTACGTTTTGCAATCTGAAATTGTTGACATTACTTAGTTTTTGGTAAAATATATACCGTAAATACTCTAAATAGAACGCTACCTTCACGTACAGTCGTTAGCAGTCTAACTTCTTTTTTAGAAAATAATCTTTTTCTTTTCTTTTCCAACTACACTTTTGATACCAAAAATACTAGATTTCAAGGGCTATCATTTGACATCCAAGCGCACACTGTAGCATAAAGCAGCGCGGAGAACAGGACGTTCAAAGGGTTAAACTACGCGACTGTACTCCTGTAATTATGGTCAGTCGCTTCAAAGTAAGATTGTTAGATCAATTAACCACGAGGATATCAGACCTGAATCATTGCATCCATTATGTTACTGGCAAGCGTTGGCAGGGTCGATATGGATTGCTGATTCGATCAACTGAAAAAGATCATCGTTTTCAGAACAAAACCTTACTATTAGAGCGGTGATTGGTTGGGAACTCATCTACTAGAGTTTCCAACTAATCCAACTTTACGTTACATATAAGACCACTCTCGATTTTTTTGCGATTTTCGACTTTAAATAACTAAAAATACAAAACAGCGCTTGAATTCTAATTTTACATACAAAAGTCCGCACAAATACCGTTTACGAAATGAAACATTTCCCCCGGCCCCCCCCCTTAATCATTTCTTCATTTGACCTGTTGTAAGATGATAGGACCACTACGTTTCTTTTTCATTTTCGATCCTAAATAACTATTTTTTGCTTATTCTATTTCTTTTTCAAATTAATTATATTTTTAGGAAGATGAAGATGAAAATTGCTTTCGTGGATCGAATCGATGCAAATTGGATTTTGAAAGGAAGAAAGTTGTCGAATCGGAAGATCGCAAAAGAAAATGAAGCGCTCTCCACCAAGTTGTCGCAAATTTCTGGTAGGATCAACAGCAAATTATGGCAAGAAGAAGTCTCCGGGGAAGTCCTCCAAAGCTCCCGGCTGAACGGTATGTGGACGTCTGTTGTCGAATTCGGTGATGTCGTTACAGGACGTCAAGGCAAAAGTGGGACTCAATCCACCAAAGCACTCTTTCTCGAGCCATCAAGTGTATACCTTACACCAAAAGAGCAGTCATGAAGAAAGCACCAAAACTGAAGCCGACGCACTTATTTGGAAGATGCCGCTTACAAACGATTGAAGTTGCTCAGCCCATTCTTCGGTTTTGATTGGTGGAAGATCGGGATTTAGGAATGGCTCTTCGAAAAGCAATTCCATCTAAAAATGAACTTTGGACAATAAGAATCACGTTTCACCTGAACTTTTGTTGAAGAGTGATCGGTGTTGAGAATTGTCCGCTAAATCAAAAACAATTCGATGGCAGCTAACTCCAAAACTAACCCAAATCAAAAACCCGATCAATAAAAAAAGATCAACTTCGTGATTGATGTCCATTTTGTGTAAAATCTCCGTAAACGCATTCCCATTCAAAAGCAAATGCTTTTTTGATTTTGAAAAGCCTCATGCCTAGTTTCAATTGAAATATTTACGTTGGAAGGGGAAAATCACGGGGATTTTGGATATGAGATTTCGTTGACTTACATTGACTTATGGTAGAGTACAGTGAAGTAAAATAAAAGCTTTAAAAGGTTCTTTTAGAGAATAAAAAAGAAATTCAGACTACAAAGCCACTAGCTTTTGTCTTGCGTTGCGGATGACTTTGAAAACTCATCTTTGCTTCCCATTTGTAAGCTTTGCATCGAAAGCATAAAATAAGATATTTTTCTTTATCATTTTATGGTCCAACCTCGAAGGTATTATTTTAAAAATTCTTCCATAAAAAGCGACGTTCTGCCGGTGATAAAACCGGCGATGAGACGAGGAAAAGTCGAGATTAACACACACTCTCTATCAGTTTTCTTCCGCATTTTTCCAGACCTAAGTTTTCCATATTTCAAGTTTCATTTTCATTTCCCCGATGTTCCTCCATATTTCAATCCTCCAAATCTTTCTCATTTCCCAAGTCAAATCTTCCGATGAATGCACTGTAACATATCAACTCGATGAAAATAATCCAATTTTTGCTTTTCCTGTCGATTTCTTTTGGACTGACGGAAAACTTAATGGTATAAGAAAATTTGTTGAAAAATTTTGACAATAAAACCTTTCAAGGCACCCTGATTTGCTTAAAAACTTGTGCAGACTGTGATCTTTTCTTTGATGTCACGAGGTTTTGCATTCTTCCACCGGTAAGAATGAAGCCAGATCTGGCCTAATATTTGATTTGAACACTCCTGGATTTCGGATATGACTTGATTTACTTCTTTGAAAGAAAACATTCAGGATAACGATTCTCCAAATTGTCCACCAGAAATGGGACTGAGAATCAATGGAGAAATGGTGAAAGTATCCGATTGCAAAACAGAGTGAGAAATATCTTGAAAGCCAACTGTTCCTTTTACAAATTACTGTAATCCTTTAATCTGTCAAGGCAGATAAACAATACTTTACCAATGATGAAGTGAATTTTAAGGGTTCCTTACTCTGATTTTGGTTTGCGAACACTTCTTGAAAGATGTACAATGGAGTTGAAAGGAGATCAACACTTTGATTGGCTTCCAGATGATAAAGATCCGACTGGATCTTTATCATCTTTATGGATCCTCATTTGCTGTCCGAGTCAAACAATGGATTGATCGTTTGCTAATTGAACTTCTTTTTCTCTTGAACTATTTATTTTACTTTTAAATCCCTTTTAGCCAATTACGATTATCAATTGGAAGCAATGAATATGCGATCATCTATGGACATCAGTGCAATCAATATCACTTATCCGAAATCTCCCCGTCCGATTTATGTAATTCTTCCACTGCAAATCAATCAATGCAATGAACTCAACGATCTTCGCTCTGTAAGCATACAATTGAAATTATTGATACATCTCTAACCACATGGCATCACTACTATTAGACTGTCCAGAAAGTCTTTTTGTTCCTTTTCGTACTTCCGCTTAAAACCAACAAATGCACTAATTGAACTACAATTGAACTACGGTAGAAAGGACTTTTTTTTGTTATTTAAACTTTTTCAGCCAATTTTTCTGCAAAATAACATTAAAAGGGGTTTAAAATGTCTTATGTCTGAATTTTATCGGCGGCTGGAAGTTAAAAAGGCGAAAGCGATGATGACATTTTAGACATTTTAGCTAAGGAAACCTATCTTCGTGTCAATAGATGAAAGATAGAGCATCAAAAAGTTAGATATATAGCCAAATTTTCAGAGAAATTCATTAAACCAATTTCTTCGTAGAGGTTTTTATCGATTTTTACAAAAAACACATGTTTTCACTCTCGAATTTGCTTGAAAGTGAATCGAAATTGACTTAAAAAGATGGAAAATTGAACAATAAACACTTTTTATTTAGAGGAAACCATAGGGTTAATTGGTGAATTTGATATTTTTGAACGGAAGTACGAAAAGAAAAGAAAAGACTTTCTGGCCAGCCTAATAGTTCTTAACAATACGTACTTGTAGAATACTAGTACTGGTACAAATAAAAGACTGGTGACGTCAAGGGTTTACTTTCTTTTACCAAGTTATATATACCATGCCATTGTCAATTTAGGATGACCCGGACTGTTCGTATGATTTATTCATCGGAATGCCACCGGGAAAGACTTCAGACGGTGTTGATCGAAGATTGTGCCATTACGAGTGAGTCATCACTTGAGACTTTGGATATTCGCCTTTCAGAGACAAGAATTCACCATTTGCTACAACATCCACACTTCGATTCTCTAATTTCCTTGAATCCTCCCTTTACAATATCCTCATTCCACCAAATTGTTCCCTCATCTATCAATCGAAAAAGCAACTATTCGTTTGTTTTAAAGTCTTATTTTTAATATAATAATTCTCCTTTTAGCAAGGCTCCTCACTCTATCTTGTTGGATGTAGTGCTGTCCCAATCTTTCTCA